GCATGTGTTTTCGACCGCCGGCGAATGTGCTTCGGAGCTAGGGCTAACTCTGGAGCTGGCCAAAGGCGAAGGGCTCCGAAGAGAGCGACATGGCTGAGATCTCGCAACCGTCTCAGCCCCAGTCTTCGAGCGATCTCGAGATGAACATCATTGGGCAAGCTCCTGCGACCGGCCAAATCGAAGCGATTGCTACGTTTACACAAGCTGAAGCTTTCATCCAGTCACCGCAACGAATTCATGGAAAGCGAAAAACGAAAAGGGACCCTCTGATATTTTTGGATCCCGCAATTAAACGGACCCGCCACCCTAGTAGTTCTAGTACCGGTACGAACTCCTCCGAAGTGAAGGAAGATGACGACCGCGGAACTACTGACACAAATTCTGATCGAACGGACGCCGACGCAGACTCGGACACTGGCTTCTCAATGGCTGAGATATCGTCCACAGAGACTCTCACCGAGGGTCCTCTTTCGACCTTCAGAGAATCAGTACATGCAGAAGACTGTCCAGGCTCCGAATGAAACAAGGTGACATATGTTAAAAAAAAGACGCATAGACAAGGCGAGCATAGCGTATCAGTGGGAGGACCTACCTTATCATACACACGACTCAGGGGTACCGATGAGGAAGACAGGCCGTGCCACGTAATTGTTTTTCGGTCGAAGGAACCTTATGATCTTACGGGCATTCCGAAGGGCTTACTGCAGAGAACTTTAAGCCAAATAACCGGCTTAATCAATGAAGAACTTACGTTCAGGCTGAATAGGGACACCATCACAATCTCAGTCATGGTACATTCGAGAGACGCCGCAGAAAAGCTTTTGGCGCTGCACTCTCTCACCGCACAGGATAGAGCCGTGTCGGTGGTGACCCACGAGATTCCCCCAAAGGATACAGTGGCGCACGGCATTGACTGCGGAGAGACTTCGGACACTTTAGCGAGTGCTTTACGGTCCAAAACACACGAGGTCCTATACGCGAGACTTCCCGGCAAAAACGGGCTGGCCATAGTGACATTCCGCGGAACCAATGTGCCAAACTCTATCGTATACAGAGGGTACATCATAAGAGTCACGCCGTATGTGTCTCACACAGTGCAGTGCTGGAGATGCCAAGGCCTAGGACACAAGCAACACGTGTGCACCCGCGCGCTGAGATGCCCCGATTGCGGGTGGCTGAAGCAGGAACACCACGTGTGCGGACGCAAGTATTGTATCACTGCCGATCCCACGGCAACCACCTTGCGACCGATCCCAAGTGCCCCACTAAGCTGCGGGTGGACCGAAGACTTCAGGGCAGAGGCCACGCAAACCGTAACCAGGCAACTCGAGACAACGAAAGATGCCGTACCCCCTCGTTAGGCCGCGGCAGGAGCAGGCCTCGTAGCCCGCCCGATGTCACGCTAAAAGACTACCCTCAAGTAATAGCTACACACAAAAGATATGCCGTGCTCGGCACGTTTTCTGACGGGAAAGAAGAGAACGAGATACCGAAAAGCAAACCGAGAGTTACAAGTAAGAGCACAACAAGGCGTGATATATCAGTGTCACGCCAACTCTTGAACAACGCGAATCGGCGAGACGAGGCCGCGGAATTTCAAAAGCGCCAACCTAAGACGCCGAGACCGCAGCAACAAGCTGGAACGTATGCCCAAGCGGTGCACAAAATGCTAAAGATAGGTTATTATGCGGACAGTGACACTGAGGCGCAGGCCTGGATGGAAGAACTGCGGTCTATCGGTGAAGCCCGCAAGAAAAGTGCGAAACGAATTCAAGATCTTGAAGTTCACGCAAAGAAAATGGCAAATAAGCACGCTGAAATTCGGATGAACGAAATAGAAGCAGAGAAGCGCCGAGCACTCAGGGAAACCGAACTTCAAAGGCGCCTCAAAGAAAAAGAAGCAGTCAGGAAATCACAGCAATGTGCATCACATCAACAACAACCCACGACCCACGATGTGCAGCAATCATGCAAAGCAGTATTGGTTTCCCAATCCACTCGACCTGAACAACCAGCCACCTCCGTCGTCACTACGACGGTAACACAGGAATATCTTCATGCCGCACTCGCCCAAATGCAACAGCAATTGCAGCAGCAGCAGCAACAAATGCAACAACAGATGCAGCAACAAATGCAGCAACAGCTACAACAATTCCAACAGATGCTGGCGGCGACCCATGCGGAGCACACTGCCATGTTCATGGTCGTCCCCCAAACTCCGCCGATCCAGGTCCAAAACCGCAATGGCTTCCAGACTCCTGAATAACGCTCCGTTCCGGATCCTGCAGTGGAACTGTCGTGGGCTAGCAACAAGAAAGGCCGAACTCCTTACGCGCCTGTCAGATCCACAATATACCTGTGACGTTCTTTTACTGCAGGAATCTCGCGCCAAAAACATTACATTGTCAGGCTTTGAAGGGCACCACAACCCTACGATAGAATACGCGGCGCGTTTACGCCGAACCCCCCTTACTAGTGCTCAGGCCAGTATATATGTCCGTCATGGTGTTTCACATATCAAGATAGACACGATGAACTGGTGTACCACCACGCAGGAGGTAGTCGCGGTCCGCGTCGCTCTCGACGGAACCACTAAACGCCTCTTGATTGTCTCCACATACGTTCGGCCCCTCCACGCAGCTCACGATTTTTCATGGATCAAAGCTCTCCGCGATAACTACCCCTCTGACTACGTAATATTTGGAGGAGACTTCAACGCTCGCTTTGAATCGTGGAGTTCTGCGCCACATACCCCGCGCGCACAGGACTTGTGCACTGTCCTCGAACTAACGGACCTAACGATCGTCAATAATTTAGATTGCGCGACGCGTTATGGCACATCGGTACGCCAATCGGACAGTGTAATAGATCTCACTTTCGCACCCGCGTCGACCGCCCGTCTTCTCGCGTGGACTGTGCTTCCCGACGCGTGGGGAAGTGACCATTTCCCCATAGTGCTCGAACTATATGCAGGCAAACGCAAAATGATCAAGCGACTTACGAAGACAATAAAATGGGATCAGTTCCGTGCCTTTATAGAGGAGCACATGGAAAATATCAACCCTGCTAACATTTCGGCCTTGCTCACGACGGCTACAAAGTATGTGACTGACTTCCGCCAGGTGGATAGGAATACACCCACCCCGGACACGCATCTACTATCGCTGTGGGATCGTCGCACGGCTGCGCTTACCAAGTACCGGAGGCACAAGCGGCGCTGCTATCTAAAACGTGTGACCCTCCTAACCAAGGAAGCTAGCACATACGCCCAGACCCTCAGCATCACACGCTGGTTTGCCCATTGCGAGTCCTTCGACAGGACTACGAAGCTCGGCGAGCTGTGGCGAACTTTTAATGCTATGTATGGTAAGCGCAAGTCGTGTAGCCCTGTCCCTCTTCTGACCCTGCTTTCGACAGACACCGAGGAAGATATCCTGGATCAGCTTGGCTCGGCATTTTTCCCGGAACCTGACGATCTCCCATCCCCCGATGTATATAGACCCGTGTATGCAGACATTGTGGACACGAAAAACCCTGGGAACCAGCCATTCACTGAGTGGGAACTTGATGCGGCAATCGCCCAGTGCAAACTTAAGAGTGCCCCCGGGCCCGATGGAGTTACAGCCCCGATGCTTCGTAATGCACCTCGTGCCGCAAGGGAAGGTATCCTTCACTGGTTCAACTCCATCTGGCACACGGGTCACCTCCCTGAGGATTGGAAGATGTCATGGGTTACCCCCATCCCTAAACCCGGCAAAAAACCGACCGACCCGAAAAACCTGCGTCCAATTTCCCTTACATCTATAATGGGAAAGTTGATGGAACGAATGGTACTTGCACGCATTCAGTGGCAAGCAGAAAACCTCAGGATCTTTCATCCCACACAAACAGGGTTCCGTAAGAATTTGAGTACCCACGATAGTCTGGCTATGATTTACCATGATGTCGCTGACTGGCACCCCAACAGCCAGCAGCTCCGGGTCGTGGTCACGGTGGACATCAAGAAGGCCTTTGACACGGTCCCACACGAAGCCGTTGTCTCCTCGATGTACGAGCAGGGCATAGATGGGAAACAACTAGATTTTGTCCGGTCATTTTTGGCCGGCCGCCGATACCTCGTCAAGTCGGGCTACGGCCCTGACGCGCGGAGCAGTACTACCAAGGAGAACAACATTGGAGTCCCTCAAGGAGCAGTATTGTCACCGACGTTATTTAACATTGTCATGGCGCCGCTGCTCTGGGCCCTCCATCGTATTCCGAACCTACGAGCTACTGCCTACGCCGACGATATTACCATCTGGACATGCCAAAGCTCGGTTTTGACGCAAAAGACAGCGTTGCAAGCGGATCTAGATGCCATCCACTCCCACCTTCGCCGCGTCGGCATGTTTCCGTCTCCGGAAAAAACAAAGTACATGCTGTACGGCCGTGGGCATTCTACCCTGGACCTGGGCCTCACTTTTGACGGTAGTCACATAAGCAAAGAGCCTTCCATAAAGATCCTTGGAGTGAATTTTGGGTACAGCTCTCAAGTAGCAGCCGAATGGGTTAAATCTATTTCGCGGCAATGGAGACACGGCCTACACCTCGTTCGTCGCATCTCCCATCGTCTGGGCGGCGCGGGAGAACGTATCGCCAAGATTCTAGTCACGTCCGTCCTTGCTTCGAAGGTGGCCTATGCAGCGCGTTTCTACTCCCTCAAACGAGTCCATTTCGACAAGATTGCAACGCTGTATAACGAGGCCCGCCGAACCATCCTCGGACTCCCTCGACACACGCGAACGTCAGAGCTTCGCAAGTGCCTGCACCTCGTCGACCTTTGAGAGACACTAGAGCAGCAACTCGACATCCACATGTCCCGACTTGAGCATACGCTCCAGGGGAGGGCAGTTGCTCGTTTCATTGGAGTAGCTGCAACGAACATAAACGACCTGCCGCCTACCAAGCCTCCATGGGATCTTATTGATCTCACGCAACATGCCCGGCCTGTCCCGCGAAATATGGATGCCACGCGCCACGCCAAGCGTCCGGAGCATTATGCTCGTCAACACCAAGCCGAGGTCACCGCATTATCTCAGGACCCTGCACAGGTCATCGTGTATACGGATGCTGCCCCGCACACCTCCGGTTGGTCTGCGACAGCTGCGGTGTTCCCGTCCCATGATCCTGCACAGTGCGATCCTATCGTTGTTGCAAACACCAACATGACCCCTTTATCGCCCGAACAAGCCGAAGCCCGCGCCGTCCTCCTCGCCCTCCAGACGTATGAGGTCAGGAATCCAGGGCCCGGCACGCTTACGGTGTTTACAGACTCTCAGAGCACGATTCGCGCGCTTAAAACGCATCTACTCACATCAAGTCCGACAATTGCCGCTATTCACGACACTGCACTTCGCCTGTACCGCCATCGAAGAGTCCGAGTCAGCATACGCTGGGTTCCAGGACATGCGGGAATTGACGGCAACGAGAAGGCCCACAAGGCTGCATTGGAGGTGCTGCATAGAGATTTCCCCTCCTCCCAGCGGACCTTACCGGTGCCTCCCGCGTCGCCCAACGATGACCAGTTTCCCGAAGACGAGGCCTACGTCTACGACCCAGTCGATGCTGTTCGCCTCGTCCGTCGGGACTGGAAACGCCGACTCGACGCCTCTTGGACCCCAGAACAGTTTCCAATACCCGAAAACACCTTCCGTAGGCACCAGATGGTCCTGCTTCGACGCATTAGGACAGGTGGAGCGGTCACGCCTCATCATGTCTATCGCTTCGAGCTGAACCGGCAACGTAAACTCGACCCGTACTATGTCCCACCAGACTCTCGCTGCCAGCGATGCAAAGACCCAGATGCCCTCCCGAAACTTCACCATCTCATTTGGGAGTGCGCAGCTCTGGTTGCCCAGCGTCAAAAAGCCTGGGCTACTCTTCTTCCTGAAGACCTTCCAACGACCATGAAAGAATGGAAGCATCCTGCCGGCGACTCCGAGCGCCGGACGAGGGTCCTGGCTTCCCTCCTCGACTTTGTATGGCGGAGCGGACTTGGGCCCTCGTTATAATGAAACACATCATCATTTCACGCCGCCAAGGACGTAGACGCCACGCTTGAGAGCGACCACGCCGCGTCGGTCCCTTGGGCCGGGGTCGCGCTGCTCATTCATCGTGCGGGGGATGGCCTGCGGACGCGAGTCGCCGCGGTGTTCGTGGTTCGGGTGGCGCGTGCCGAGTTTCTCTTTGAACTTGTTGCCCCGCGCCATTCGGGGCACGGATTTCGCGGTGGCTCGCGCCCAAATATGTCCGGGGGCTGTCTTTTGTGTGGTGTCGGACCGGCGTGGCCCCCGCTTTGGGGACTGGCGTTTGTCCTTGGTTTAAATAAACGTTGTTCTCACCTCTCACCTCACCCCCAGTACCCTTCCCTCCTCCTCCTCAAGAGCTGCGCTCTAATTCGGTGTTACAGGGAGTTGTAAACGGCTTTCACTTTTTTTTTAAACAGACACAGGCGGCCTTTCTGCCATCGCTTGTCTGGGTTTCGTGTCCTTGCAGTGATATGCCTACGCTAACACGATTTAAACGCGGCTAAATGCCGAGGCCGGAAGAACCGCCTTCGTTGACTGCAAGGAACTCGATCGCTACGAAATCAACACAGCTGTCATCGTTGCTAAAAGACGGCCAGTACCAGATGTTTGCAAAGCGACGTAGATGGGAACAAATCGCCGCGGCGTTTTTCACGGCCTCGGAGATGCAGGAATGAACCGACGTTAGAGAAGATACGTTTCAACTCCGAGAGCGTCAGCAAGAGCCACGTAAATGCCTGTTCACACTCGGAGCGGACGCGCGCATTTGATCGAAGTGCTGGATTCGCAATGTTTGACCGCAACTTTGTTAGCGGTTCGGGCCCGATTTTTTGCGATTGCAACGATTGCAACTCGATACTGACGTGACTCTCGGCAAAGAAAGTTTGGACCGGCATCGCGTAGCTCCCACGGACTGTTATAGCTCGACAATGACGTACCGTCGTGTCAGACTAAAAATGGCATACTAATGGGGAATTGTAGTAGACCGTTCCCGCAGCCTGCTGAGCACCCGGATAGCGCTCCGTAATCCGCCACATGAGAACACCGCCTGGACAGAAGGCCTCCACACGCGTCATCATAGTCAGATCGATCGAGGCGAGAGATTGGGCACGAGTGCTGCGTCAGTGTTCGGCTGCGGCTCGTGGCCAATCAGCGCGTCGCAGGTCGGGCTCGAGTCCAATAGCCGACCGAGCGCGATCCGACTGTGATGGTGTTTCATAGAGGAAGAGGAAACCATGCGGAGGCCTTCTGTCTAGGTGGTGTTGCAAAAGACCTTGAACTATGCAGAGAAGGCTGGCGGCCCGCGTGCGCAGCGGCGGCGCTTTCTTCGGGGATACGGTAGCGGAGGAGAAAAATGATCTACTACAACTCCCTATTAACAATGTGTACATACCGTGTTGCAAAGGTAATCCATACGGCGTTTATTTGGGCTCTATATCACACAAAACAAGGAAATAGAATCGATGGAGTCTCTTTTCGACGACAGCGTTCGTCACCTCAGAAAACAAGGAGACGACAAAAGGAAGATATTGACCTCTTTTTCTAAAATTTAGTTCAGCGATTAAACTATTGATACCGGAAGGCTCCGCAAGGGTCGAACGTGCATATTTCATTCAGCAAGACAGCCAGTTCTTGGCAGACGGTCTTGGCGAAGGATCGTCGGTGCAATGCTTCGTCAGTGCAGGTCGGAGTGCCTGCTAAGCATATATACTGCCGAGCTCGCTTGGTTCATGGGTTCGTTGCCATTGTAACAATTTCTAGGTGTTTGTGCATCTAGCGTTCATGTTCGTCGTGGTCGGTTTCAAGTACCTCTCTTTTTTCTTGCTGCTTGAAGTCGGGACGCGCGAGAAGAGCGCGTAGAAAAATAAACGTCCGTTGATCGTCGCGACCAAGTAACTGAATGACGCTGTTGGCCATGTTGATTTGATAGTAAAAAGTGCGTAAGACAGCTCCGGAGCTGTCGTAGGATTCCATCGTAACCTGCGCAAAAAATTACCATAACTTCGTTCCGTGAATACGAATTTGTTCTTACGTTTTGTCGTACGCACATTTTTGGCACAAGATCGCTTCGTGAATCTTGCCTCAGGTCTTCAACTCAGCTAAAACTCAACCAAAATAAGGATCCTCTGACATTTCGTAAACCGTCATGGAATATCACCGGATCCTAAAAGATCTTCGCGCTGTTTCTGACTTTTCCCGTCCAACGGATCTTGCGTTCATTCCTTTTCATATTTCGCCGTTTTATTCGTGAATTTGTCGTAATACCTGTACCGTTAGACTATCGTCTCAAGAAAGATCGCACCTTTATATAATCTATACAAAAGGAAAATGATTTGTGGACTCTCAAGGCTGCACTCATTACCAAGCCAGTTTTGGATCATTTTGACTCTGCACTTTATGTCGAAATGGACACCGATGCCAGTGGCACTCGGTGCCGTCTTGATCCAAAATCGTGACAGACGAGAACACGTCGCAAATGACAGTCGCGCTTTGCCCAAAGCGGAAATAAATTGTGCCGGTACCGAAAAAGAATGCCATGCCGTAATTTGAGATATCAGCAAATTTAGACCTTACATTCCTGGTCGTCCGTTTAAGTGTGCAAACGATCACCAGGCTTTGCTCATGGCTATCAAACTTGAAATATTCTTCTGGACGCTTGGCCAGAGATGGTAGTAATGACATTACTGCATTGAAATTACTGTGACTAATTTACTTTTTTTTCTGTGACAAGTGGTGTAATATGTTACTTTTCTGATACGAGCGATTTAGGAATCTAATGAATTACTTTCACTTACTAATTTTGAGGAAATAAGTTATTAGTTTCGTAATTACTTTTTTCTGAGACACACCTGAGAACAAAATTTCTGACGCGGGTGTCGAGAGCGAGACAAACACACAAAGACGGGGTCGAAAGGCGGAGCAGATTAAGACAAAAATTTGAGTGAAGAACTAGCTGGGAGGCCAGAGTTCACGAAACTCCATTCATGACGTATTCACAGCGAAAAGTAAAAGGGGACTCTTTCAAGCTACAATGTGGAGGGCACGTCGCTACGAAGGTCAACATATATTAAATTCTGTGACGAGGAGTCAGGAGCTAATCTTAAATTGCATACCAAGGATTCAGAACTTCTCGTGAGTTGCCTTATCCTCCGTAGGTAAAGATGATTTTCGTATGTTTCATTCATCCCTATACTGACAGAGCGGTGGAAGCTGCACGGTCGTTGAAGCAGTCGTGCGTCGATCCTTCGCCACTTGATCACGCAGCCGCCAATACCCAAGCGCAGAGAGCGAAGTCAGACGATGAAAGAAAGACAGTTGACCGCACTATCAGCTTAGGGGTGAACGGAATATAGTCGGAAACGGCAAAAAGCGACCAGAGTATAGCTCACCTTTGGATTAAAGGTGCCCTTTAAGAGGTTTCTGAGATACTCTGCGAGCTCTAAGCATCCTAGAATCCATAAATCATAGCTATACGCGGTCGATTTCCGTATTAAAAAGAAAACAGAGTCAAAGATTGAAATTATCTTTTGTGATGGGGGGAGCATTGTTCCGGCAGCCAGGACGGGATGAGATCAATCAAAACGCGACATTTCGTTGAGATTGCAAATGCTGTTATTACAAAATTGGTATGCTTTTGTACATGATAGAAGCGAGTAAAGAGCAGTCGAAATATGGTACTTTTTTGCGGAGAGGGAACATAATAGTGCAATAATCGTGTCAAAAACAGCGAACTATTTCCTTTTGTTTTCCGCGGGAGCGATGTGTCCCGTCGTCAGCGCTCGAGCGCTCGAGTGTTCGCTACGCTGAAACTACATTTCGTCGCTCTGTCCACTGACGTCGAGCTGGCGATACCAACATATACGAGCGGCTTGATAGCTGTTGGATATAACGTACTCAATAACGAATGTGCGTATCAAAGACTACAAAAAAGAAACATAAAAAAACACTGAGGTTTTGCAGCAGAGCCAAGAAAACCTTGAATGTCTTACTGTATACCTTTAATGCGCACATTAGCCATTTTAATAAGTTGTATCGGTTGACTGTCAAGCCGCTCTTGAAATTTGGTATCGTCGGTTCGACGTCTGTCGAATGAACGTCGAATTGTAGTTTTGGGGTGTCACATATGGGGCTAGGGGTATATGTATCCCTATACACCCCCTATTTTTGGAGTGTACCCGCTCACGAGCACCCGCGAAAACTTTGGCGTAAGAACTTGCATCGAGCGGACAAGACGTTGGATGAGACCTCCGCTGTGAGCCAGTAACTTTTTGAACCAGTGTACGCAATTGGAAATTACGTGCACTTCATTAGCGGTGAAGCGGTGCGCGTTCAGCATGGGAAACCAATGCTTTCGGCCGACGCAGTTGCTACCTATGATTCTTCTGAACCTTCCCAGCCATCTGACGAAGGAAACACCGACACGCACACGGGACGCTGATACGCATGCGATCGTAGAAGCGCGTGGGAAAGCTTCAGGAGGAGTCGACCGGTGAACCATTTCCCAATTTAGACATGCACCGTCTGAGCAAGCCGGCGCGGTGAGCCACTCTACTATTGTAGACCACCCTATAGTAAGTTACAGGTCAAGAAGGTAGCAACAAATGCTCCTCAAAGGGATTCATATATCCCTCCGCCACCTCCGCATCAAATAGCGTCCCATCGTTTCCGTGACGTCGTGGCCAACGCGGGAGAGGGTTTCGCCTTCCTGTGATATTTGCTTTATATTTCGACTTTGACTTTGCGTTATGGAAGCCACGAGAGGGAGATTAGAGTTTTCCCCTTCCGATGGAAACAAATACGACTTACCCGGGGGGAGGGGGGGGGGGGGGAGGAGGGGGGTTAGGTTCCGCCTCCGATGGATACAAAGGTCGCTTTCTTAAAAAAGTGGCGGTCGGAGACAAAAAGTTGGCATCACTCCTTAGCCCTTATCTATCCATTGACGCGAAACAAGGGGTGTTTCCAGGAAACTCCTCTTTCGACTGCGGAGGGATTCGAAACGGGCGCATCACGCTGATGGGAGGAGCTTCTCCTACCTTCTTGACTTGTAACCGACTACAGTTGAATCGTAGACCGGGCTGTATGGGCAGCGAGCCGCGCGCGTGCGAAGTATCCCTCCGCGATTCCACCGGTAGGAGGCGCGAGGATCGTTTATTTGCCATTTACTCACAATGGTCCTGGTTTCGGAACGTGTTCGAATCCTCCCTCGCCAGAAATAAAATCGGTGTATTGCGATCTGGGATTGCTTTTTCAATATGGAACTCGGCCGCGGATCGTCATGATTTAGGATTTTCTAGGATGCTTGGAACCAGCATAGTGAGTTATTGGCTTATTTAGGCTACATCAGAAAGCTCACTGGACACCTTTAAGTCGGAGAAAAGCAAACGCGCAGATATAGTCGCTGGTTCGTTGGGGAAGGAGGGCGCCCGCCACCCATTTTGATCTCTGGTGGCGTTTCTCCCCAGAAAACATCCGTTAACCCTGCGTGACAACGCGCGATAATTAGCGTTCTCCTGTTGTTAGGGAACAATACTCCTCAAGAAGAATGTCCGAGAATGTGTCGACCAGTGCTGTTGGGAGAAAACGATACGACTGCGTCCGAATCAGAAGAAAGAAGTTTTAGGCATTTCCTCAACCTTGTGAAAAATGGATTCGGGAACGATGGATTCGTTTTCCACAGCCCTCATAAGGGCAGTTTTAGAACATGTCACAACAGTCGTTACGACTTCATGTAAAAACGAGCTGCCATGGCGCAACCAACCGAGGTGGAGGGCTTTTCCAAAATCGGCAGTACGCAATCACATCAGCCATTAACCGATCAACTTCACCTTCGCATAAACAGCGAAACCGGTGAGCTGTCTGTTTTAGTCATATTCTATTTCTGTTTAACACTCCCGTCGTCCCGGGCAGGAATTACTGTCTAAAGGAATTTGAAAGTAATTTTAAAGTAATTTCGAAGTCATTTCATTACTTTTCCAAAATAATTTTAATGCAATGTAATTTTTTTGTCTACAATAATTTGCAATGTAATTTATTTACTTTTGAATACACCTAATGAAAATAATTAGTAATCCTAGTTAATTACTTTTGAAAAGTAATTTTGCCGTTTCTGGCTCTGATGATTTTTGTTTGCTGTTGCTTTTGTTGATTTTCTTGAGCAGAGGGAGAACAGGAAATCCTTTATATTTGTTCCATGTTGTTCCTTTGAAGATTTTGAAAAATAAATTATCTGCTAAGCTTAAGACAGTGTGTGTGTGTGTGTGTGTGTTTGTGTGTTCGCTTGACTGTATGTGTGTGTGTATGTGTGTGTGTCAATTGCTCTATTTCGCTTTGTCTCGGCTTGAAGTATAGATATCCTAGCAAATTTGACATATTCCGTCGTCTTATACAAAAAAAAAAAAAGCAGAAACCGGACTACATTTCACGCAGCTTCAATACTGCTGATTGAAGATAAAGCTTATTTTTATTATATTATCCACTTGCCTCAAACTATTCGACATTGAAGTTATGCGACAATGCGTGGCGGAGGTGCTTTAATGATGAAATAGGCATATCCTATAGTATGCAAATGTTGAAGATTCTTGTTCTTTTTTCTGACGCAACACGAGGGAGAAAAGTTTATTGGTGAAAATCATTGAAGCCCGCAAAACCTTTTTTTGCCCAACCGAAAACATTGTTTAATTGTACAACCTCTTTACATTGTGGGTAGCGATAGACGCTTAAATATACCTAATCTCTAACGACTAGCATTTTGTCCGAAGTTCAGGTTGAACGCTTTGCCACTGTCGTATTTTATTGCACATCGTTGTTTTTCCAGCTTTTATTCCTTTACCGCGTACTGTTAAGGCCCAGAGGGCGGGCAGATGGCATACCGGCTTCGGGCTGTGTTTTCTTCGTATTATGTCTTAAAAAGAAAAGCTAAAATGTCTCTTAATAAAAAAATAAATAAATAAAACGAGTTAGAGGTGAATTTAGGCGTTTCTTTACCCGCGAATCTATATATCACGTACATTTTTGCCGAAGATGTAATTAAACGCGAGAAAACACGGACAACTTCCGACCTGACTTCGTACTAGGATATTTCGGCTGCCAAGCGCGTGTCGCTCGTGTGGGCAGCACGTGCAATTGCAAGCTTGCGAGGTGCATTCCCCCGCACTGACACCAGTCGTGACGTATTTTTTTGACCGTATTAAAAATAGTAAGAGTACGCGTGCATAGCTTTGATTGGCGCTGAAGATGTGCGAGATCGGAGATTTCGAAAATTCTGGATATGACATCACGCTCCGGGAAGGAGGGGCTTCAGCGGTACTTTGAAAATGATTTTCTGCAGCCTCTGTGCACCAAACTGAAAAATAATTTCGATATTTATGATGCTGGAGGTCAAATGAAGATGATTTGAGTGTTTTTCTCAAATACAAAACCGCTTCAGTTCTCCTTTAATGAGTCATGATATTTGTTAGTAGCGTTAGAAATCCCAGTTTGTTCCAACCGCGCGTCTTTGCTGATACCCCTTTCATACATGGCTTGCACGTGAGGACATATCACATTCTAGTGGTGGCCATTCCTAGTTGTTTGTACCAAGTAAAACAAACTAAATGGTGAGCATTGTAAGCCCCAGACGACACGCGCTCTGTATAAAGGCATCCACAATGGCCGTCAGTGTGATTTCAACGTAAGTCATATATAGCTGCAGTCACGTGAGGATATTTGGGGTCACCGGCGGGATCCTGATTTGGTTGGTGGTGGCTGTTGGCGAATTCCATAAAGTTTAGGTCCGACAGCCTCTGTGATTCGCCCGGAGGTTTATGTCCTCGCAGAATATACTTATTTTTATATCAGAAGAAAAAAAGGTGGAGACCAATTGATGCTATTAACTTTGGGTAACTTTGGAATGCCTTCTCGTGTCTTCAAGAGGGTCTTGTAGAGCGGTGGTGTTGCGGACCACCGCAATACGTCTACCGTGAATCGAGCTCGGCTTCGTCGTGGTAGAGACATAACGCACAGTGCTCGATTTTGCAACGTGAGGCTTTACACGTCTGCTCCCTGTCGTCATCCTTTATTTTACCCATCATATAATTGTAGTACAGTTAACACAACCACTTAATTATAGACTTGAACTGGTGATAGCATGACAAAGGAAATATACTTCTAAAATACTAGTATACTGGTAAACACAAAGAAACATTTACGACTAAATGGAGATGTCGCTTTCTAGTATTGGTCTCCTTCCATACAGTCCTTTTTCCATACGTCAGATGTTGTGGTGGGGCAGTTTTGTGTGTAGACATTCATACATTCCTGGGCAACAGGAAGAGGGGCTCCTCCTTCTCCTGCTGAATACAATTCGCAACCTGGGAAACAAACACAAAAAAGGTGATACATTAAAACGTCTAGTTGGAACAACTTAGGAAAACATTTGTCGGTGCAATAATAGTTAACTCCGATTAGAACTTCAAAGACCCTACCAATTCTTCGCTCGCAGTAACAATTAGTGTTCGTATATTTCTTTTAAAGTTATTGGCACGGCGGAAAAAAAGTATCTTTGGTGGTCTGCAGCGAGCAGTTACTGGATATTATAATTCATGTACTAAAGGGCATCACTTTAGTGGCTACAACTGATGGTGGCTATTGGGCAAGGAGACAGGCGACGATGTTTAAAAATCGTCAAAACCCCATTTTACGTAAAATGGGGAAAAAAATGTAGGACGGAGTCTGTTAGGTTCAAAAAGTTTGTCAAAAAAATTCATTGAAACGTTCAGGAACTGCCACTGTCACTGCATCTATGACATACATGTTTCACTGACTTTCTCGAGTCTTGTGGTCTGATGCCTCTAACCGAAATACTTTTACAAAGTCATAGTTGCGCGAAGCGATTTCTGTAGTGCTTTTGCTTCCCATTGGGATAGCCTGTTTCTCCATTTATGACAGCTGAGAGTATTTTTACACTCTTACGGCAATTCTGGAGTGCTCCTGTTTCATGTAGACAAATGTATATATTACCGTAGAATGGTCCCCATTGTCTGGCATGTATAGCCCACACAAATAATTGCCTTCTGTGCGTTGTCATCTTCGTCACGAATGGAACAAGTTCGGAAAATGCGCCGTAGCTCTTCATTTAATACCAAAATCACTTGGTATTTTTTTGCGCGGGTGATAAGCGGCCGAAGAATATCTAAAAAATCGATTGAGGGACAATTCGAAGAGCACGTGTTGCAAGACTTGTTTTTATCGCACCGGAACGCAAGGAGGAGCACGCCACAAAACAGGCAACTTAAAGAGCGCGCAAAAAATGCACGGTGACGACACGGCCAAGAGAACGTTGTGAATGCGTGGTTGAGATCGGGGGGAAAAAAGCTAGCGGGCGCATTGGGGCTTTAAACGAACGCACGAGGTGAGCAAAGAGCAGAAGAACTTGCACGCCGTACAGGCAGTCAGTTTTCCCTTTGTCGCCGTCACGGAATCAACGCTTTCTATTTTTTTTTAGAGCCATAGGCTTGCCATAATAGGCATTTATTTTACGGTTTTTAACTGAATGTAAACGTTTCACTTAAGTGTAAAAGTCGAAAAGTTTACATTCATCTTCATATTGTCAAATGCCATGACACATAGCCATATAAAGTTTATTGGGAAATAAAGAATAAAATGGCCGCATCCCCACGTGGTGAATGATGTTGACTGAGGCGAAGGTCTGGTGGTGCTTATGATACTGATTATATATTTCATAGGTAGTGCTGATGGTGCTGATTTGTTTTTTCATTGCTCATAGGTAGTGCTGAGTTCCGTTTTTGTGTTTCGACTTCATTATTACTGCTTTATGATCGGTGAAATGCAGAGCCACTGGTTCTTCTAACGGATCAGCTTGGATCCGCTAGAAGCCGTGGGAACGCATGTCCACCGCTTAAGACAAAAAACGGTCCATGTCAGAAAGAGAATGTGTGGTATGGAACGTGGTTATATACGCATTTGAGAATTTGACCGCAGCGCCCTCTCGTCTATAAAAGTTGAGCCAATGCGTGCGAAGTTTAACGCGATTATATACGCATTTGACCGCAGCGCCCTCTCCTGTATAGACGTTGAGCGGCTACATGCAACGTTTCATCCATGACAGAAACCCCAGCTCTTGAGTTACTACCACATCTCAGGGGGGGTTCCCGTTTCGACCCATTCCCAATACAACCTTCTCGTTTGTACCTTTCCGTTTCGACCCGGCTCAAAACGACCTTCTCGTTTCATCCTTTCCCATTTCGCCCTTTCCCGAAACAACCTTCCCGCTTCGGCCATTCTTCGGTTCGTTTGTATTGTTCGTTAACAGTCGATTAGGTTCAAGTGTCCAGTGTCCGTTCTCCTTGCTCACATCACTTTTTCCTCTCGCGAAACTACCTCGGAGACATGGCACCGTAAGATACACGCTGTGTCAGGGAGGGCTCACTCGAACATTTACAACTTCATCGACCTGCGAACGGGATGAGGCCTTGACAAGGATATCGCTGCAGCAGCTTTCAAATGGTGGTGCCGTGCGGGCCAGGTGACCGCCGCGAACTGTCACAATTGGAGTGTCGCCTTTCTGATGGCGCAATTTTCCTGCTCGACTTCCTCATCCCGAAGACGATAGAATTTTGTGGTTTATGACTTCTGCTTGTGTACGCAACGTTTTTTGTTTGAAGTTGTAAGAAAATAAAGTCGCAATCATATGCCCGTCAGCCTGTCTGATTTATCACTTTTAAAAATACCCCGTTCACTATAAGGAAGTTTTAGAATAACGTACGCAAGCGTTTTGGGTAACCTAAAAAAAGCGTCGCGATAAAAAAAGTTAGGCAACGCTAATTTTTGCTTACTCAAAGTGCTTGCCTGCGTTACTCTAAGACCTTATTGGCGAGTTTTCGTAGACCGCGTTTCCCCTTTCGCTAAGCCCTCCGCAACGAAGAATCCGCTACTGCGACTGCGCGCCGATGGCCTTAACTGTAGAGTTCTGGGTATCGTAGCGGGTTGCGTAGGAGCGTCGCGTGACGTCGAAAACAGTCTACGAAAGCTCCCTGTTATTGTACAGAGTGCGAAACCGTTAGCGTGAACAAACGATTGTTGGTTTAAGCTGTTTGTCTAAAACAAAATCAGAAGACTGCCATTAATATTATTAGTGTGTTTGAAAGTACTCATCTGGGTCACTAACCTAAGCGGTAAAATGTGGTACCTTCTAATACCATTTCAAAGTAAAATTCGAAAAATCGCCAACATCGTGTTTGAGTTAACGTTGTTCCGCAGTGTACATAGTCCATTTCGTAGTTACACATTTTGGGGATCATCTTGAAAGAAACATTTTAAGTGGTTCAAGTAGAAATACATTTCGTTGGAGCTTGTCTGAAAGTATTGCATATTTTAAGAATATGTTTACAAGCAAAATATTTAACAGCATAACTGAATTGCTCGCCTGTAACTTTGCATTAATTGCAGTCACATGATTTCGGGACATATTCTTAAGCAGAAAAACTGCGCAAACCAGGATTAGAACGATGGACACTTTTCGCGGAGAAGTTGAGATGTGCGGGCTTTATACCAACGGGTTCAAACGGGACGAATTGAAACGTAAAATATGTCTTGGCTACGGGTTCAAATATGAAGGGCGACTCGGGAACGGGTTGAAACGGGACAGGTTCAAACGGGAAGGTCGTTTCGGGAATGGGTCAAAACGGGAGGGGTTCAAACGTGAACGGGTTGTTTCGGGCTATACCCCATCTCAGAGCCCCCTACTCGTCCCGCAGTCATGGCCGAGTGGTTAAGGCGATAGACTAGAATTCCATTGGGGTCTCCCCGCACAGGTTGGAATCCTGTCGACTGCGCAAACGTTTTTTCTTTTCATGTGGGCACGGACGCCGGCCGGACGGACGGACGGACGGACGGTCGGACAAGGGTAGACCCTAAGGAGCTTCGCCCCTAATATTGTTATCTCTTGTCTTGCCAATGCTTAGCCATTCCAAAGGAAAAAAAAAGCGACATGCTACTGCAGTTTATCGGCCAATTAAAAAAACATTGTCTTTACTCTAAATGTGTTTTTGTCACAAGTCCAATAGGAATAATGATATTCACGAAAGCCTAGAGACGAAAAAAAGGACCTTTCTGTTCGCAACTTTTCAGATATGCTTTACAAGCTTACAAGTGCATCAAAAACAACATAATATTGTTATCGTGGTCCTTGTCTGAGCCTGTGTGGGTAAACGTGATGTTATTTCTTCGTTTAGTGTAAACTTACGTTGTTATTTGTATTATTTGTTTTTACGAAACAGCCGATCAGCATATTAGCAGCGTCAGCCTTTTCATGCATGCTTATTAGTTAATGAATAGCCGGTAATGAGTAAAACGTATACTTGGAACGTCCCATCAATATTTGTTGAATGTCAAACAAAGATATAAAAAATATTTTATATAATCCAGGGACGCATCCTGACTTCGCGGTTTTCAAACTGTTGTCACAGACGACCCAATATTTATGTTAATAAAGGCGTGAGCCAAATACTACTGGTCTAAAATTCCGCGGAAACATTACGTTCGTCTGTTGGTACATAATAATGAAATGGTAGAAGAACGCTAAAAATACTGAGGACAAAAAGAAGAGTTGCAGGGACAAAAGGGCAATGTGGGGGTGCATCTTTTTGTTTTTCTTTAGGCGTTTTCTTTTTAGTTTTTTGCTCACTATCACTATGTTTGCAGCGACGTTAAATTGATTTTTCTGAAGCGGGCGTTGGCATACATTCGAGTGTTTGAGTAATGCAAATGTGAAATCAATTATTATAAAAAGTAGGAAACAAAAAAATTGACCTTTCGAAAGAAACAAAAGAAAAAAAAAACGAGGCAAAATGTTTAACAAAAATTTTCACGGATATTTCTTTGGATTTATCCGAAAATACTGGGGTGGTTCTCTGCCTTTTTTAATCGTTAGCCGGTTAATCGTAAGCCATACTATTTGAACTCGTGGTGACAGAAATATATTGATAGAAATTAGTTAATTAAAAAGTACGCTTTCCTTTTATCGTTCCCATAAAGAACGCATTTTGTAGAAGTTAATTTTGAAAACGGAATTAAAACTGAGTAGTCGGTGGCTTTTTTAGGGCCGCATCAAACTACCCGCGATCGTTTGCCTTCGCCTTTTCTCTTTGGAGAATCTGGGCTGTCTAGACGAAGGAGGTCTATGGCGAAAGTCCAGGTGATAATTACAAGATAAACGTATAGTTTTTGTAAAATTTCTCGGCACGTCTATGCCAACGAAAAAATATTTGTTTGTAAGACTTATATCCGCCAGATTAGCCTGAATCATAAGATATTTCGCGTTTCACTTTCAATATATTTGTCACTCCTGCCTTTTAAACAAACATTACGCACTTGCAGGACATGGAAGGGGTTACCTGGAGAATGAACGAAAGCTTCTGTAGTGTTTTAAATACGTTTAGGTAAAAAGTATATTTTTTGAAAATGAAGGATACCATGAAAGGTAGTAAACTTTTCCTTACCTGTCCCATCTTCTTCATGCGTTGCGCGCAGAACAGCACACGTCTTGTCTGAGTTGATGTACAAAAATTTATACAATGGCGGCTGAGGACCTAAATACGAAAAAAAAAAAAAGATTGTTAAATAGTGCATAAAACTAATAACTTTAAGTGGAAGTTAATCCGAAGAAACGAGTAAATTGTATTTAGTTGCTTGGGGTTACTTGAACCCAGAGGAGTGTATACAACGAACCAACATAAATCGTAAACTGTTTATCACACACATCGTGTAGATCTTTAAATTGTGTCTACGCGGAATGCTGCGACGCATGTGCGTATATTTTCTTTTAGTCTTTCTATATACCTCTTGCAGCGGAAGGCTATAGAGTAAAGACAAACATTTATTTGTCCTCCTCCCTCCCTCCCCCCCCAAAAAAAAACAACAAAAACAACAAAACTGATGCGCTTAAAAACTAACGACCACTTCGCGCTTTCCACTTTTCCCTCGCTTCTTCCTCTCCCCCTTCTACCCTGTCCAGCGTTGCGTGTTTCCTCCTCCCCATGGCGAGGAGGATCTTCTGCCTTGCAGAATCTCGAGTCTGGTCGTCGGTCTTTAAGACGGACAGTTGGGCACTGTAATACGTCACGCCAATTCACTGCAATTTGCCTCAATGAAATTTGGAGTCAAATTGTTACTGAAAAACACTTATATTATCTTTAGCTTTTAACGTCGATACTCCGCTTGCTGAAAGTACCTTCTCTATAAAGGCAGAAATATCCAAACTTCATTATAAAACTTTGCCACTGAAAAATAAAATGAATTGATCGACGCAGTGTCTGTGGTAAAGGAGCGTCAAGAAATAAAGGCAAAGTGCTCTAAAAGTGATCTTCACTGGGGCCTTAGTCTTACCACCTCTTTTGCAGTAGCATTTTGTAATGCTGAGGACGAAAAAATCTTCCATGGTTAGCCTAGTGGGTGAAACGTACACCGCTTGACACTGTTAACAAGGTTTACTGTTATAATCGTCAGTTAATAAATGGGTGCATGCGAGGACTTGAGTATTTGCAAAAGACAGAATATAAACTCGGTCCAGTTAATTGAAGTTCTATTCCTTGGCAGCACGAAGAACTCAGGGCATTACGTTTCCTGAGCAACTTTTTACCGCTCCTTATCCAAACAGATTGCACCATTAGGCGATAAGACCGCCGAACAATGAATCAGGAAGCGACAAGCGCGAACAAAATAGGATACGGCCAGGGTTTTTTATGCCGCCATTCACGTGAATGCCCAAAAAGAACAAAAAAACGAAAGAGAAACACATATCGTAAATGTTTTCATTATAAAATTTGATGATTCATTGCCAACTATTCTTTTGTTTCAGCTGAAGTCGAGACACAGCTGATACTACGTACCTGACTTCTCATCTTGCAATCCTATTTCGGCAGGTCCAGGCGACCCTACACCTTCCATTGCCGTTCTTGCTTCAGCAACCACGTCGGGTTTCACTGTTGAGCAACGACGACCCAAACTTGCAGAAGCTTTTTTTTGCAATCTCAAGAGAACCGCCCTCAACCGCGATAAATAACGACACGCCGGACTCTACACAATAGGAAACGAGGTATTGTCGCAACTACGGCTCCCAAGGGCCAGTTCTGCTATTTGTTGTACCCAATCATCTACGAAACAACAGTTAATTTGTCCTTCACGACGATCCTACGGCCATACTTCGTTTCATCTTACGTCCAGGCGCAGCCGACGCAACGAGCTAATCGGACCAATCAAAAAGCGTCAAAAACGCAAGTCACTGAACCTTTTTCGTTTATGAATCGCTCAGCGATGATGGAACACGTACAGAGACTTGATGAACACCACGATGGTACGCTTTCGACGCTGTCTGATTGCTCCGATCAGTTCGTAGTGCCAGCTCCGTCTGGACTTGAGTTAAAAAGGTCCTTGAATTCAAACAACCAGTAGCAGTTGTACTGTATACAGTTAAAAAATGACGTGTCTTGAGTTTTTTTCGATCTAATTAGTAGGGGAGTCGTAATAGCAAATTAAACGTTCGACGTAGATGCGTAGAACCGCCGGTTGCGGCGCGCCGAGGGTAGGAAAGCGTGAGGACGCAGAGAAAAACTAGCCAATGCGACGTCACCAGCCGGGTACCCTTGCTCGCCACTAAGCTGGTTGGCGACGATGAGGTCACGACGCGTTGGACAGATAATAGGCGGCAGAAAGAATCGTCGCACGCCCGCCGGCAATCGCTGCACTAATTTTTCACAATAAATGCGTTTTGGGGTTACTTTTGGCGGACATAAGTGCGATAACTGAATTGACGTGACAAAAAGCTATAAAAGTTAGTTCCTAACCACATTTTTTTAAAGAAATTTAGCTTTCTTTTAAACTGAAACGAAATTAAATCCAATTTCGAACCCTTTCATACGAAAAAGAAAATACAACTCGTTTTGTTGCGGAAGATAAATATAATTGAGAAAGCCTGATTTGTTTACTGATGCGACATTAGCCCTTTCTTCTTGAGGTAACACTAAGGCTCTTTTTTAATGATTTTGATAACTTTCTGTTTGGCCTATTAAAAGTGAGGAAACGTTATGATTTTTTTATGAATACTTACTACTTGGAAAGGTGAAGAAAAGCGCATTGTCCTCAGTGTGTGATCCGGAGGTGAATGGATGAACCGTTGCGTGGAAGCTGTACCTAGAATTTTGGAATAAGATATCAATGTCGCGTTTTCCATTTTAGAAGTACTAATAATATTTTACGCTTACATTTTTTCTGAGCCGGTAAAGCGGTGGCTGAGAAGAACCTGATACGTTCCGTTACGAAGTCCCGACGTAACTTTCACGGATACGCATTCAATTTGAGCCTGTGGTGTATATGTGTGACTCAACATGTAGTACGTGTAACGGCTACACAGGAGCTGCAAATAAATATGATAAACTTACTAACACGTAAATATATTCTCACGCACACAATCACGCAGCATGCTCACCAACTTTTTTTTTTTCACGCAGCACATCTGTATGAAAGAGCCTACTGAATATCTGAGGGAAGTATGCGTGCGTGAAATATGACTGCTCCAAACCAAATAACACTCTTGCACCGTCAATCTATACGGTGTCCCAGAGACATTCCCCGTCTGCGTCTATATTTCCGAATCTTTTAATGATCACTGTGGGCTTCAAATAATTTGGCCATTGTTATAGGCAATCTTTTTTCATCGATAGAGCGTAGATTTAATGTCGCCAATAACACAACACCTTCGGTCAGTAGTTATACGCAGGTCGTAAGCGTTCTTCGAGTACCTTCTAGATTGCGCTGGTGTGTGTTCTCTCGACGTAAGCGGTGACATGCATATGTTTAACCCCTGCGCGTTTTAGAAACTGGTAGCATTGCTATGTTTGTGTTTGCAACATGAAAAAAGAAAAGCAGAAAAATCATTGCCCATTTGTTCAATCTGAACACATATCCCTAAGGCTTAGGGGCATGACTGTAGAGGAGGGAGCAGTTTATTAAAGAAGAGTTTAATAAATTCTGAGAAAGACCACAGTTTCCTTCCAATCATTTTTATAGCCAAGACAAAGACAATATTCGAAAGCAGAAGCGTCCTCAAGGCGCCCCTTTAAACAAAATATTATTTTAGAAACGCGCAAACGGCAATAGCTGGTATCGCATGCTCCCACCTAAAAAAGGAAATTGTTGTGTATATGTTTTTACAGCCGGAAGTTAGACTACCTTAGGGGGCATCTGGTTTCTCAGCTGTAGATAAGCAATTTAGCCAGTGCGGTACAACCGCTAGCCTAAGGTCTTGAACGTGCATCACACAGTAGTGATACCCGACTGCACGCCGGTACGATGCTCATCCAGATCGAAACGTACAGGGGTGGGGATTGAACCCAGGATGCTGGGTTCTGCAGCCTGTGCTTTCGCTTCATGTGCTCCGAGCCGGTGTGCGCTAGCCTCTCGGCCACCGATCCCCACTGCTCCCACCTAAAGCAACACAAATTCTAGTTCTTTCTAATCATGTTTCCCAGTAATTCCCGGTGGTTACAACATATAGGCCAGAATGCGGTTTCTTACAAGAACTTTTAATAGTTACTTACCTCAGTTGCATGTTGGTGTTCAAAATTGTTTGGATCATCCTCGTAAGGCGTTTTTTGGGCGCTCACAGTGGACGAAAGCCCAAATTGCTGGCTGGTTGCCACGAGGAAGGTTGCTAGTGCAATCAAAAAGAGAGACATTTTATGTTTCGAACGTAATTCGTATATCGCCTAAAATATCGCCCTTTTTGTACGTTCTTAGAAACATTGACTACGTAGATGTAACGTAAAAAAAAGAACGTTTGAGAGTTTTTATTGGTAAGTGAGCTATTGTCTTCTGCCGAACGTCAGTCAAATTCCCGTCAAAGGATTAATAAACAAAGTATTATAAAAAAGGCCTCGAATGAACAGATGGAAACATTCTTGTTCCAGGGTACCGAACGCTCCCACATCATCGCATTCTTTCAAGTTAATTATGAAGAATACTGTGGCCAAATGTGAAAATCCGCTGCATTTCGGCGGCACATGGAACGAAAGCGCAGGCTGCACACTCCATCGTCGCGATTTGAAATATCACTTTGTTGTTTACGACGCGTATTGGCTTTTGCACCCGGGTGCGTTTTCGTAATCGCCACTGCATAACGCGCCTTAAAAATACTGAGTTAGCAGGCGCGCTGCACTCTTTCAATTTCCTTTCTACCAAGAAACCCATTTCGGTCTCCGAATCTGCATGTTTTGATTAAATTGTGCCTCGTGCATTCGTGTGTTGTGAAATTACAGGAAGTTTTAGAATAACGCACGCAATTTTAGCGCACGCTAGCGCTAAGTTTAGCACTTGCGTTAGGGCACGACGTAAGAGTGTTTTAGAATAGCGTTTCTCAGACGCGAAGCAAAAGCCCGAGCATCTCGCACTTGCAACGCCTCCAGAATACAGTCACCATTTTTATTTCACACACGAAATGCTGTAACTTGAGAAAAAGCAAGTTCTTTTTTCTTTTTGTTCAGAGTAACATTTTAGATTTGTTTAAACATGAGGATATGACGCAAGCGGTTGACCGGTCATGTCCGCTTGCGTCGCCTCGACAAGAGAGGTCTCGTGTATACTGACCTTCGCCGAGGAATGTTCGCGCGTCTAAAACACCAAATTTCCGGTGATCGTTGCCCACCTTACTGGGTTTTCCAAACCGAGTGGAACGTCGTCCCTTATTGGCACTTGAAGTCGCGAGGATGTCGCCGATGTGGGGCTCACGACGCCGCCAAAGAGGCCGCAGCCATGATCCCGGCAGCCGCCATTTTTTAACTGTGCTCGTCTTGGCTTTAACCAACTTCTTATCAGGAATCCTCATTGGAGGAGCGCAAAGACTCTTTGCGTATACGCACGCAATTTCCGAACATTAGAAACGTTAACATAGCGCACACAAAGCGCAAAACGTGGTTAGCGTTCGGCGCAGGTGCAGTGGCGATGATGAAATTCTTTGCGTACGCAAAGCTTTAGCCTGCGCTATTCTGAAACTCCCTTATCGTTCTGCGCCGATGCGCGTTAAAAATATCAACTTGGAAGTCCATAAGCGCTGGCTAAATTTCTCATCTGCTGACAAACGCCTGCGGTCATGCCACGAGGACAGAAAAAACCTGCCGCTATGTAAGCCTCCAACGACCACTTCGATTTTCGCCAGCATGCTTTCAATGTGGATTAAAGTTAACCCGGCCAATTATATTTAAAACCGATTTCACTCTTAGTTTAGACGGATCTGACATAGCCTATCCTCCCATTTGTTTAACGATGAATATAAACGGTACCAATATGTTCGTCGATATTTTAATTGTTTCAAATCAAGGCGGATTTCAGGGATGTGGGGTAGGGTGAGGCCCCCACCCCCTCCCTTCCTTCCCCCTAGATCCCCCCAAGGGCCACTCTTAGAGCCCAGCGCTTAGGCGCTCGTTCCCGGGCTTCGCGGAATCGCCGTCGGCGTAACCGCGCGCGTTGCATGATGGGACGCCACAGACTTATGCACCGATTCAATTTCTCGCTAAATTTAACGAACAAACTGAATTGATAAACTTGGATTGAGCGCGTTGGTAATAAATTCAAAAATCTAGGAAAGAGTAGAGGACGGACATGACAAACATCTTTCGTGATGTTTGTCCTGTACGTCCTCTTCGTCTGACTCGTATATTTTTAGACTGAATTGGTGTGTAGGTCTGTGACGTTCCATAATGCAACACTGCACATTTAGTTTCCCCGCTAAATTTAGTGATAAAACTGACGTCACATGACCTCAGCACCAATTCAGCTTCCTCGCTAAATTTAGCGGGGAAATGAATTGGTGTTAAGGTTACGTGGCGTCAAGTTTCCACCTAAATTTAGCGAAGCAACTGTGGGAGGAGAGGGGGGGGGGGGCTACGGAGGGGGAGGGGAGCAGAAGAAGCGGAGGGGAGGAAAGTGTACGGAGGAGGAGGAGGAGGGACATAGCCCCTCCTCCTTCTCCTTTACAAAAGCTGCGCTCTAATTTCGTATTACAGCGATTTGTAAACGTCTCATTTTTCTTTTTTTAGAAAGCCACACACACCCCAGCCTTTTTTTCGTATGAAATGTCTAGTTTTTGGTGAAGTTTTAAATATGAGGATGATTAGTAAGTTTTTGTCTCCTGTGCTGTAACTTTTTTTATTCAGTGATGGATTCGAAAGGGGCTACAGTCTATTGAAAATGATGAATACTTTCGTAGGTGTTTGTTGCTTTTCAATATAGTACGTACCGGCGGCGATGCGCCTTCCCTATCGGTGCATTACTCTCGGCATGCCGTCGCAGGCGATTGAGTGCCGTTGTTGACGACTCTAACGCAGCGCTAGAGAGACTGGAGTTCCAAATGTTTTGCCTATTTCACCTTACAGCCCACGGATCTTTGACTATCAGACTTTTAGGCTGTTTTCCACAATAAAGGAATATTCGAAGAGTACACGGCTTTCGTCCAATGACGAGTTTGCCGATGCAGTGCGCCGTTGGTGTTTTTAACTGTCTCTCTCAATCGTCTACGACTTCATGCGGACGGTAGTGCACCGATATCAAAAGTGCATCGCCGCCCGTGGGTCTCTATTAATCAGTCACGTTTGGGAAAGAGGAGAATCCAGACATCAATTAGAATATAACATCTCGCTATTGTATTGCTGAAAAACAAACTTATATCATAGGAGGCAAAACGTATTGATCACCCCTGGTATTAGGCTGACATAACCGATGGGGTAAAGCTTCGCCGATACTGCCCCCACCCTCCCTCTGCTTCAAATTCCTAAGGACCCCTCATGTCAATTTTAAATGCTCACTTTGTTATTGTTTATTTAAAAAAAATCAATCTTTTCCAAAAAGAAAAGAAAAAATCTCTTAATCCTTTTTTTTAAATATAAAAACAATTAAAGATCACTATATTTTTTTGGAGACACGCGCAGTTAAGCGATCAGCGGCAACATAGACAACTGATATCACGTCTTCACCATGAGTGTAGTTCATCAAATTTATTTGATTAAGTTGAAAGAAGTTTGATCAATTATTTTGATGTTGGCATGACCGAGCGTTCTGTGACATAGTTTCCTAAGGACTGTGGATTCTTTTTGGTAGGGTTAAAGATCTTCCCTATTTCCGGGGACAAAGAAACCCCTCGAGATTTATGCATTCAGTTAAAGATTATATTAGGGTTTGACAGAGTCATCGGTCAGAAACCATTACCCACTAAGTTCGGCGTTGCGCGTTGGATGTTGCCAAACCTTATATTTGAATTTATTGAAATTATAAAGTCTGCCTCAGTGGGCGTCTGGTGTCTCAGCTGTAGATATACAATTTAGCCAGTGCGGAACATGAAAATATAACTGTTATCATTATTTCAACACGACTTTGAAGGAAGAAGAAAGATAAAGGATGAAGTGGGCTAGTTGGTTCAATATGTTGAACCATCTAGCCGACCTCAATAGTTTAGCACTTATATTTAAAATTTTCAGCAGTTTCTTTGAAATACGGAGTCCCTAAACTATTTGCTCAAAACAGGAGTGAAATTTTTGTGTAGGGGTATGAAGAGGTGAATAACTGGTTCCAATAAACCTTTATAGTGTTTAGGCGATTTCTTCAAAACATGGATAACTTCGGTGGTAGCTCTAGAGGAGCACGCATGACGGAAGGATATTTCGAGTTTTGTGTTTGATTCCCTGACGCAATTTACTTTATGACACGTTCCTACAAAGTAAAAGCAACCTTTCTCTCATGATTCCTCCCCTAAGGTAAAGGGCAGGACGACAATATGGTGTCTTGGAATGTTTAGACGTTTCTTATTGTAATTACGGTATTGCTATTACATGAAGAGTATCGCAGCCATTGTCTAGCAAGCGCTTGCGTCGCTTAAAACTTACGCGATACCGAATGTATTTCCCAGTAGCTGAACACAACCGCGGAAGTAAGTTTTTGCTATTCCAGTAGCTATAGCGTCTTGGAAGGCAGTTTTGGAAGGTAGGTTCTAGAAAATATCTCCTTGGAGCCGACGTCGTGGGGCAGAGTCCCTATAACAAAGACAAGCTAGTTCATAATGAGTGAAGGTTAGTTGCCGTTTTTATCTAAATAATGTTATGCGTTACTCAATGTTATGCCATCACAAGCTAGTTCAAGTGACTGTAAACGGTTAAAAAGTGTTCAAATACCTTAAATTTAAGTTTTGTTTAATATCGACATGCAATTTTGCCATATTTAGTTGATACAATAATATGAAAACTACAATACAGGCTTAGCATATTTTTTATATGCGCAAAAGGAATTTAAAAATGATCATTTTGATGCATTTTGCGCCGTTTTATATGAAAAAGGCTATTTGTAAAAAATATGTGGATGCTTCTTTAAAATGTTCTTATTTGACGTGTACCCAACTTTTCTTTTTTTTTTGCAAAGAAAATTGGTACTGTAATTTTTAATATTTTGTTTAATGTCGTATACCGTTCATAAAATAAGAAGAAAAAAGTATTACTATGTGCATGATTCAATGTAAAATTCACGGTGGTGCAAATTATCATAGCGAAAGGCTGGGCAACCTCCGCGCCTCAAAATTCGAAATTTTATACCTCCGGATAAACATTAGCTGCGGCATTCGCATATAGGTGAATGCTTCTCCAAAAGCGCATTACTTTAACATATATTTTTAGATAACACAAAAAATATGTCCCGGCCG